TAGTAACTGTCATGACCTGCAGTGAATGAGATACAGTTTATCACCAACATTTAGAGTTATTATGGTTTAACACAATATTAACAAATATATTTAAAACTATATTAACAAGCATTAATTAGAAATTAACCATGAGCTAAAATTCATTGTGGCATCCATATGGAAGATTCATTAAAGCATTTAAATATACAGAAGCTTTAGCTAAAGATTAGAAGGAAGTCTACAGAAATTGACTTAAATTCTAATGAAAGGAAAGGATACATATTTTATCAGCTAGGGAGATCTGTGGGTAGCATCGGCTTCAAAATTTATGTCTATTTTTATTGAAGATGGGCCTAGCTTATTATAGTATTCTTCTAATCCTCCTGTGTACCTTTTTAAAAGAATTTATTTCTCTACTTCTTTTTACACTAGAGGGTGATATGATGACTGAATGCTGAAGGTCGTAAAACATACATATAGAGACTGACAACCGCTGTGGGGAATGAAGTGTATTTTGTGGGATTTGGGGTAAGGCACAGGAGACAAATAAAATGATGTCATAAGGCCTGTATCTGTAAAATATTTTGAGTGTCCCAGACACTATGCTACCTGATTTACATAAATTATTTCACTTAATCCTTACAAAAACCTTAAGAGGTAGGCATTCTAGTCTTTATTTTACAGATAAAGTAATAGGTTCACTGAGATTACATACTTACAGTTACACAGTAAGTGGCATAATCAGAATTCAAACTCAGATCTGAAAAGTTCTTATCACTCTAATATGTTAAGGGAAAACCCATCTCACCCATTGTCCCCATTTCTCCCATTTCCATCATCCTCCCCACATGTTTAAAATTGGGCTAAACTATGCTGAGTCAATGTTTCATTTTTCCTCCCTCACAAAGGTAGGGGACATGGCTATTCACTGGGCCATGTTTACTAGTGGATGTTACTCAAGATGACTGCCTTAAATAGCATTTTTTGCTCTCTGGACATGTCTACACCAAACAGAATTTGAACTTACGTTATTTGTCTTGTAGGTAGACTAGGCCAGGGACTTTCTGAAGAAGCTATCATTCTCTAGAACTCTACAATAGAGTGTAACTTAGAGCCCTGTTATGTTTCCGATGTTAGACACATTGTCCTACAAAGTTTCTCAGCAGCTCTGGTCCTAGGAGGTGGTTGGAGAATGGTGGACCAGATACCCTGATTGGTTAATGATCCTACTACCTGATTCCTCTATTGTTCAGAACTTATAGACAAGAAAGAAAGGGTCTTATGCCTCTAAACTCCAATACACTAGATGCTTCTCCACAACTCCCCCCCCCTTCTACTTATTTATTCTGAAACAGGACTCTCTATGGCCCAGATCACTGCAGCCTCAACCTCCTGGGCCCAAATGATCCTCCCACCTCAGCCCTAAAAGTAGCTGGAACCACAGGTGCATGCCATCACACTCAGCTAATTTTTGTTTTTTGTAGAGACAGGGTTTTGCCATGTTTGCCCACGCTGGTCTTGAACCCCTAGGCTCAAGCAATCTGCCCACCTCAGCCTCCCAAAGTGCTGGGATCACAGTGTGAGCTACCATACCCGGCTATCCTTTATACATATGTATTTTTTGATAAACATTTATTTCTTATTTGAGGCAAATGGATAAACACGGTTTAATTACTAAGAGGAATCTAACAATCAGGATGGGAAAAAAATAGACTAATTTCAGGTAAGGAAGTTATGTGAGATGAGAACAGGTGGAAGAATCCAACAATTAGGATGGGAAAAAAAATAGACTCATTTGAGGTAAGGATGTTATATGAGAAGAGAACAGGTGGAAGCCACTATGACAGATAAGGAAGCATCAGAAATTAGTGCTCAAACACACTTCTCTTCATCAAAAGATCAGGATACCAGATCTGGCCTAATAATTGTCTCATTTGTTTTTCATGTTAGTAGAAAATTAGTTGATATCTGCATAAAATATGTCAAAGATTCTTCAATATGAGCTGGGCATCTCTTCAGAAAACAATTTTTAAAAAATATATATGATAAGGATGTTGACAAAGGAAGTAAAAACTGAAGAGACAGACATTTATATCTGGAGAACCAAGTTGACTCTAGAATTTACAGGCTAGTCAAATTTAGAGGAACAGCCAGCACACAACCTCTGCTTTAAAAGCATGTTTTATGGATTCGAGAGAGTATGACCTCTATCAAATTTTTTAATAGCGTCATTTCTTCCTGATTACTTTAGCCTTGAGCTGTAAAATCCTCAATAGTGTTTTGTTAAGTGTCACAAAGAAAAGTAGTTAACTGAGCTCTCTGTCCTTTCTATAGGGTAGCTCTGATCACTTCAAATGGGACACAGTATTAGAAAATCATCACACGCCAGAGTCCTTATGACTATATTGGAAATCTTGTTTAGTGATGTTTGTCATATTCTACCATAGGGGGCAGCATAGTACATGGAAAGAGAAAGGGGTTTTTTGCAATTAGGCAAATCAGGATTAAAATCTCTCATCACTTAGTGTGATCTGGGGTGGATCATTTGGCCTCTCTGTAACTTTTGTTTATGTATCTGTCATAGGATCTTTCAAACAGTGTGAGCTTAATAAATAGCAATTCTTGACTATCACTTTCCTTGACTTTTAACATTAAGACAGTATGGAATTTTTAACATATATTGCTTGCCATAAGGCTCCCAAAAGAACAAACCTTTAGTGACAAGGGGGGAAAAACTGTCCTCAGAGTTTTGACAGTTTTCAAAATGCTTTCAAAGAATAAAGCAATGCAAGGAAGAATTAAACATCTTTTTTTCTCATTAATATCATATTTGCTTATGCAGCATATTTAGGGATGATGGATAAAATTCAGTCTAGCTGTCCACAGGGTTTGTTTAAGAGAACGCCAAAAAATAAAACTTGAAAGGTATCCTGAGTAAAATTTGTAGAAAGCTAATCCTATATTAACATTTAAAAGTGGGATTTCATTTCTTATGCCTCTACTCTCAAAAGTCAAAGTTTAAGACTTGAATGAAACTATGGTCTAGGGTAACGTCTGTAGAAGTGTCTTAACTTCATAATGATCAAGAATTTAAAGCTCTTCCAAAATAAAGTACTTGAACTAGTGAGAGCTTCTATTTATTGTATTAAAACATCTACAGATGGAGAATACTGACATTTTCTTTTTAGGTAAAGCAGTACTAAGCGACTTTTCTAAATGCTGTTGAAAGTGCTCCGGGAATACTCTGGCAGAAGGGTTTTAGGAATGGACAAAAAGGAAAACATTTAGAAAAATTTCAGACTGAAATCGTACTTATAGAAGGGCATCACTGTCCTGGCAATCAAATAGCTTTGTATTCTTCATGCCATACTTATGAAGGCAAATCATCTCATGATCAACAACATATCAAAAAGTATACATACACACTTATATAATAAATGCATATACACATCTATATTGTACATGTGTATATATACAAATGCATACACACATCTATCCCTGCTATGGTTAGGGCCCAGTCCATTCTTGTTATCTTGCATGTACAAGAATAACTGTTATTCCTGATTCAGAATCACTAGGAAAAAAAACTAACAAATTCAGTATACTTCGTTTTTAAAGAGGTAATCATCACACACATAAAATTTCTGTTAATGATTTTATCTTGAAGGTAAAGAAAAGATGAAGTACCTGTCAAACTTGTGAACTGGAAGGTTTCCTACAGAATATAAGGATGACTTTTCCTTTTGGAAAAAGATAAAGTTTTGTCTAACTAGCTTTTTTTGCTTTTAATTTAAAGTGTAGCAGAAATCAGCAATAACTCTGCATTGTTCTGCAAGGCTTAGTTTTTTGATTGAACCTCTTTCTGAAATAAGATAATGCAATTGGAACTTAAGTATTAAACCCTTATTCCTCTAACTGAACTCTCAGGAAAAAAAGAGATGTATAAACTCCCTTTTGATACAGTAACCTTGAAGAAGGGGATCAAGACTGGGGGGATAGAAGGGAGGAATGACACTATATAACGTCTGAGCCTTAACAAAGCAGTGTATAGTTGTTAGCGGTAGAGCCACCTGGCTGAGATTCAAAGCTACTGCTTCAACATCTTGAGACAGGGATGATACGATGGACGAAAAATCACTACTTCATGTCATGTCCTTCTTAGATCATGCTAGCTAAATATAATCTGACTTGCAGACAGGCTAGGTAAATTAGGGCCAAACACATTTTAGAAAGTCAAGGTTTTACAAGCAGATGTAAAACATGATTTAGCAATTCAACTATTATTAATCCAAGTGTGTAAGGCACTTCATTCCAAGTCAAGTTAGGTTAAATGATATGATGTCAAATCAGTTAAATCAGTTTGTATATTGTTTATGGCCTAAAATCACTGTAAAATGTAAGAAATAAGCAAGTAGGAGTAAGAGGATGAACTACCACAGACATTATTTTAATGTCTATAAAACAAGTAAGCTATTATTCAAGTTAAAATGTTCCTTTCCAAAATATAGTTTAACTTGTAAGTCTATTCTACATGAATATCCACTATTTCTAATTCTCAAATGATAAATAACTAGAACTAATTTGAGGCAACTTTTGAGTAATTTATGCCTTAGAGTGACACTTGTAAATAGACAGCCCACTCCAGCAGCTGCATTTTGTAAATAAAAAGCTTCTTCATTACTTGATTTACACAAATCATATTTCACCCAAAACCTCTACACCCCACACAAGCTACTAATCCCTGCCCGGAACTCAAGGTTTAGACAAAAATTTGATGTTAATAACTTTTCATAGTAATAGGCTCAATTACTTTCCCTCCATTTGTACTCAGATTGTCCCATTATCAGTATTTTTACTTGTTAATACTTTCCAATACCTTCTGTAAAACAAAAAACTAGTTCATTTTATTATTACATATCTTAAGATTAATTTTTAGTAATACAAAGACTGAGAGGAAAGTTTCATTACTTAAAATAGGTATGTAAAGTTTCTCAAGTTAACAATATAATGAATATACTCACTTTTGTTGTTTTTGTATAGAATGGGGAGGAGAGCTGGTGAACGGGCAGGTCCACAATACTACTAGAGTTTGTGACACTGTTACTATGTGTATGTTCATCTTCTCTGCTACTATCATCAGACTGATCAAAATCATCACTCTCCTGGTCCATCTCCTCCTCCTCCTCATCCTCCTCATCTTGTTCACCAGCATGTTCTTCATCTTCCTCTTGTTCTTCTTGGTTTCCTGAGGAGTCCTCATCTACTGAAATAAATCTATTATTGTTTTCTTCCAATTGTCCTTGCTGGGAATCATTTTGGCCTCCAGGTCTAGGTTCTACTCCAACAACTTCACCATTCCTTGCAGTGTGCTCCTCCTCTTGTTGTCTAAGTTGCTGTTGCTGTTCCTCCTCTACCACACGATTCATCTGTTCTTCATCTACCTGGCTTGAGGAAGGGTTACCTCTCAGAGAGCCTCCAGTTCGTCGTCTTTTGCTGCCCACAGAGAGCAGTTCCTGATTCATTTCCAAAAGCCAGCTTGCTACTTCTTGGACCTTGGCTAGACTATCAGAAGATGCAAAGGTTTTCACATTCTGCAGGGGAAAATAGTGGAAAAAACAAGATTTGTACAATCTATATTATGTTCTACTTTCATATTATATGTCTACATTCTAAATATCATTAATGATTGCAAAAAAGTATTGATGCCAAGGCATTAAAATGCTTTTTAGTAAACAATATAGAACATTTCAATTTTAAAAGTTATAAGACTTTATAAAGACATGCACAAAAACCATAGTAAACAACATTAATCGCTTTTAATTTTTAGCATAAAGATTTATAGTTTAATTCCTTTGACCAATAAAACATAAGCATATAAAACAATTTCAACTTTACATCAGTAGTTCATAGACTATATCCTATATAAAACTTCCACAAAATTTTAAGAAGTGTATCAAAAAAAAATTTCAGTGTTCAGTTAAATTTGGGAAATGCTGAGGTAAATCAGATTAAAAGGCTTTTTATCCTGGGTATTTCCCAAACTTCTCTGATCACAGAATCTTGCCTTCAGACACAGTTTTCAAGCAGGTAACAATTATAATCATTATTATTTTAATTCTTTTACAAATGACTGGACAGAAACAAAAAATTTATTTAAAAAAAAAAGTTCATAAGTTCATACCCTCTGACCCAGTAACTCCACTTCTGGCAATCTATCCTAAGGAAGTAATCCTAAAACAGAAAAAAAAAATTATACAGAGGATGCTCACTGCAGTTTATCCACAAAAGCAAAAAATAAAGATAAAAATAAATTTAAATAAAAGTAAAAATTCAAAGGCTCAATATAAAGGAATCTATGAGATGGGATATATACAGTGTAATCCCTAAACATGACGTTCATAAAACATTTTTTAAAACACGGATGTTATTATATTACGCTAAGGGGAAAATAGTGGAAATAATAATGATTATAATATGATTTTTAAACTGTATGAAGACTAGAAGACAACATTTCAAAATAAACTGCATCTTAGGCAGTGGTATTACAGATGCTTTAAACATTTCTTTTTTTATCATATTTCTCAATTTTTATATATCAAGCATGTTTACCTTTATGTTTTTTTAACCTGGCTCTAGAATTTTATCTGATACAGCATCTTTTCATGATATTTATTCTTACACTTTATCCTTTGTTGGTATCTATATGGACATCTTTGAGGTCAGATAAAATAATGCCAACATATTGTGCACACACAAGAAATTAAGCACCCGTGATCTAAAACTTGAAACTGTTAACAAATGAAGTATTGTCAATTCTAGTCTTTTTCAGAGAAAACCTTTAGTATGATTTACAACAGTGTATCATAAAACACCAACATCAACAAACAGAAGTCCATATCCTAAAATTTGAGGAAGGTCTTTTATTTCTTCTTACCATAATACAAAATGTCAAGATATATCAAATATTTGATATATTCAAGTTCAGTCACAGTTACCGATAAAATCATGTTATATAT